GTTTCGATCATGTGATGTGAAATTGTTGAGAAGTTACTCCTGATTGGACGTTCCCCCATTCGTTAATCCGTTTCAAACCGTCTTACTATAAATTAAATTAAACTTGTTTATTTATTTAAATAAGTTAAAAAAATTTGTTGTCACACTTCGTTCGACGGAAGACACACCATTGACTTTAAGAAGGATCTAACCGTACAAAACGTAACTTCAATGTTCCACAGTTGCTAATACACTAGCAACTGACCAATTCTGATGGTAGTGGACACATTTCCGTTTGTAATACTCGAATGACTCTACTCAGACTAAACAGTCCTGATTTTTTTTTGCGGTAACAGCCATACAGCTTTCCGATGCCGCAGGTAATGATAACATTTCAATTCCTGCATCCGGGTTAATCCAGCTTAAACGCACAACATCCTTTATCGTGATATTAACTGTCTGGACGGATAGGCTATTCAACTTTTATCAGTTCAGCAAGATTTGAAGGCATGCAATTGGGTGGCATCACTGCAGACCTTGCTTCGCGTTTCCCTATTCCTCAAATTTTAAACTTGAGCAATATAAAATATTATAACTATAACCACGACGAAATTGATTCCCCTCTAGTCGCAGCGCAGGTAGCTCATGAGGCTCGCTGTCCCTCGATCCGATGAGGTACAGCTGCTTATATCATTTGCAGCAGAACGATTCAGCATATTGGAGTTGTCGCTCAAAGCAGTTTATTCGCGATGTTTTAAAAATGTTTAACAGAGGAGGACGGCGATTAGCTCAGCAAAAAAACTTGTACTGTATATGTTTTTAATGTTTATTGTCTTTTCGAACGCATAGTCATAAAATATTTAACGGCGACATGTTATATACTGACAGCATATCATAGTTATGGACGTTGTGGGACACTGTAGCACACAATTGATCGTTTACCCTTTGTGTTACCATTGAAGTGGGCTGCTATAGGGAAGACTTGACGAAACAAGGCTAATCACTGCTTAAGCACTGAAAACCTCAGAAAATTGTTTCCACTCCACCGTGCCGCTGGATTAATTGCCGATAAGCCGATTTCAGAAAACACGTCTCTGTGAAACACTTTCCTTCGCTCCGTGGCATGCTACCATTTGACCTCGCGACCTCACCGGTAGCTCGATCTTGGTCGCGTGTCGCGACCTTGTCACATCTGTCATTTGAGGTTTGAGGTTGACTCGGCGAGTGTCCATAAAAAAGTGACGACGCTTCCGTCGTTCGCGTTCTCGTCAGCTGACAGACGTGGCGACATAGCAGGGAGGTGGGTAAAGGGGCAGGTGAGCGGACGTCACCTCGCAACCTCAGGCTGTTTGTCCACTTCGCTGCACATGCGTCGTCTTTGCTCATCGGCCACGGTGACAACAGCTGTTTGCTGAGCACATGTGTCAGCCGATGCTCATCCGATTCCCTTGTTATGCCACCTCATGGCTCCCGACGGTGACTGGCAGCCGCCAGCCAGGCTTATCCAGTAAATAAGCCATGCGCATTCCTAGACACTGCTGCGAGCTGGTCCTCATCAGCGACGACGTACCGCCAGTTAATCGTTTTAATAACTCGCAATTAACTCGACAGCACGTGCTCGAAAACCGAACGCCAGCGAAACCGAGTTCGTCTCCCACCGCGAACTCAACATGCAAAACGCGTTCGATTCGAACCAGCGTCACACAGTGACAAAAGAGCCAAAAATTTATCCGCTGGTGATTCGACGTTTCTTCAGGCGAGGTCCACATGCTGCTCTGAATTAGGGCCATTTTGCTTTGAATATTCTATGATGATTGACTTCATTCATCACATGATTCGTTTACTCAGCACAGATACGTTAAAGGCCACCTTCTTGACGTTTCGGATCGAACTAGATCCATCTTCATGGAGCAACTCACCAATTACTCATAAACTTTTTTCTTATGAAGGGTATTTCTAAATTGTTCAGGATCTTTTGTTGATTCGCCTTGTGTTGATTATCACACTATGCTATGTGTAATATATATTATCACACCGCGAACGAGATTGGTCACGGTAAATCGCGGCCATAAAACGAACCAATTGGACAGCTGCACTTTCTTGAATGATTGTTTCAGAACCCCATGCTGTCCCTGTTGCCTGCAGCGAGTTTCTTGCATCGAAAAGCAGTGGAGGGAATTCCTTGCTGAATGACACTGGCGTAGAGTAGGAGAGACTTTGTACCATGAACGGAATTTGAAGCGTTATTAATCTGGAACCTCTTATGCGTAGAGAAATCTGTCATTCACTGCGGCGCTTAAGTAACGTTGAACTATGGTCTGCTTCCTAGTGGTTTTCCTAAGTGACTAGAAACAACGGTACGCGCTTTCCCTGTGCAAATCTGGTTTAAAGATTATTAGTGCCTGTTTATCAACACTGCTGGAAAATTGCCATTCTAGGAAACTACCTCACAACATCGAATTGTCTTGAATTAACTGGAAGCCAGCTTCAAATGACCTCTTTGAGGAAGCTCACAACTTTGCATACTGACAAAAGTAAGCAGTACTTAACAATTTGTCCCAATCGCATTCCGGCTGATCCCGGATTGCATGAGTTACACGGCTGACCGAACTGTGAATGGAAAACGCGTTTGACCAACCCCAGCGAATGTCTACATTCAGCGTTCAACAATTTTTCCAGAGTAGCGTTCCCTGAGCTTTGTCAGCTTCGTTCTGCCTATCTACATTTACTCGGTCTTACCACCTGCCCTTTGTCGATCACTTCACTTCGACGACGACGTCTCCATTCATTGTTTTCCTTCAGTTTGTCCTCGCGACTCCGGAAGTTCCTCTTCCAGTGGTGCCTCACGCGCGGAACAGTTTTGTTCTGCAAGAACAATGAAATAGGTGGAATTACACAAAGCAGGTATTTTCCGCATGTTGCGTATTCTACAACAATGTAATGATATTAATACGCTGCTGTCTTATTGACTCAAAAAATTAATAACAGTCAAAAAACTAAGTTACGTGATATCCGCAACTCATTTCGATTCTACGTCTTCTTCATTGCTACAAATGTTAGTTATGCGTTATTTATAAATGCTCTTTCCTCCAGTCTGCCTGTTAGAGCTGTTTAAGGTAGCCACCATTCCATGATATTTGAGTCCTGACATCGCTTCGTCATCCAGAGCCATCTCGCACTCATCAAGAACGATTGCTCTGGCGATGATACTCCTTACATGCAAGTACAAAAACATCTAAATGTGTTCGTACGCTACTAAAGGTATTAAACGCATAACTACTGCAAGACAAGATTTAACACCGTGGAACCGATTTAACCATTGCTCGGGGCGCTTTCATTAATATAAGTGGTACGGAGTCAATGATAATAAACGCAAGCAAATAACCTATTTCAAAATCTTTATTTTATTAGCAAGGTTTTGGTCATCTTAAGGAATATGAACTGAAACGCAAATGACGCTGATTGTCCTGACGACAGCCAATGTTGAACGCCTGCCTTGCATATGTGTGAAGTAAAGAATGAGTGCGTGAGATTTGTCGTGAGTAATTTAATCCAAAGGTTTGTTTAAGCTGCGTATGTTGTTCCTCAAACAATCAAGGGTAAATTTATCCGGCTGATAGGTTCTTAATCAATGTCTCTGTCTCTGCCAACACGCATCTGCTGTCACACTCGTTGGACATTGTGGCCCATAAATTTATCGTAGGTGCTGTGAAATTTACCGGTCTTTTGAAATTAATTGGGTGCCAGTTGCTTTGTCGTTCCTTTGAACACGTAACGGACTTCCAATGGCTGAGCCCCTTTGTTTCCTGCCAGAAGTACGACTTTGCATAGTTTTCCATGCTGGACATCCTTCTTTTTATAATATGACCAA